TAGAATGCAGACTATGGAAAACTTTTTAATCCCAATAATTCATTCCTTCCACGGTCCCCTAGTTCCCAGCCAACAAACAAGAGGAAGATAGAATGTGCCAGAGTTCAAGGAATGTGTCGCTAACACATCAGAGTGTTTCATCAGAAGCCATCCTAGGGTTCTGTCCCAAACTCTTCCACTTTGCTATGTGACCTTAAGCAAGTAACTGTACCATTCTAAGCCTCCCTTCCTTTTGTGAAATGGGGAACAAACAGTAGAATAGACCATTATCTTCACATCCCAGCTGAGGAGAGATGCGATCTGCTGATATTTTTTAATCCCGTGCAAAACTCTTTTTTTCACATAACCTGCCAATGCCAATCAGAACAATGAGTATCAATAAAAATTTGATTCAGCTTTTCAAAGTTCACATGAGCTTAACTCGATCCAAACAAGCATGCTCTTCTTTACCAGAAACCCCATGACTTTCTCACTTGGCATGGAATAAGCTCCTGGACCAGACTACTAAGTTGCCTCCCCCATTAAAGTAGGGAGGCTTATTATTTTTTTTCCTATGGAACTGGCTTTTTAACACAACATGATTTCAGAGGCAAACATTACCTACTGTATTTGCTGAGTGACTCACAGAGAAAAGAATGTGGGCGGAAGGACCTCTCCATCAGTGATATTTTGCAGCTGCACAGATGTCTCCCAACACTGCCTCCCAAAGCCTGAGAGAAGGCAGATGCTTGTTAAGAGAAGCTTTGGACTGAAGTGGAATCTCTAAATTCAGCCCACAGTCCTTGTCCTCTTAGCCTGCCTACATACCCAGACATACCCTTGAAAATGGATATTTTCCGGTCCCTCTTGCCAATAGGGTCCCCTGTCACCTCAAGAGAAACCATTTTTAGACATTTTAGTTTTAACTTTTAACTTTCTTAAAATTAGGTCACTCTAAGCATCCCTCCCCTTTACCTCCCACAAATCCCAACAAACAATAAAAGGAGCCAGTGAATCATAGAATCAAATAGTTTGAGCTGAAAGGGACCTCTTAGGTTATCTTTTATAACCCCCTCATTTTAAAGGTAAGCAGCTATGGCCTATAGAGGGGATGTGATTTAATCAAAGTCACACAGGAAGTAAGCAGCAGAACCATAATTCAAACCCAGGTCTTCTGCCTCCAAATTCAGCATTTTGTCCAATGAGGCAGCAAGATGGTGCAGTGGATAGAACACTTTACTTGAAGTTAGGACACTTACCAGTCATGTGACCATGGGCAAGTCACGTAGTCTCTGTCTGCCTCCATTTCCTCAGCTGTAAAATGAGGAATATAATAGCACCTACCTCCCAGGGTGGTTCTGAACATCACTATGTTCTGAATATCGGTAAAGCACTTTGCCTAGCAAATAGTAGGTGGTTAATAAGTGTTAATTTCCTTCCTTCCAAAGTACCACCATGCTGCAATTTTCATGTTCTGGTTGCAGTTTAGCTCCATTGTATCTCAAGGTGAAGAAATCACTTAATTCTAGAGTTTAGAACAGGGACTTTTTGGTTAAATGGGAAAAAGATTTGATCAAAAAATCCAGAATGAATTACCAGAGTTGAACTAGCAGCTGAGGAGAGGGAAATGTTGTTTCTTGGTATCCACATTCTTATTAGTATCTTTAAGCTTTTTTTGTCAACGTTCGGGATATGTTGCTTCTGAGTCATATACATGCTAAACAATAAGAAATGACAGAAAGAAATGAGGAATAGGAGGATTTCAAAGAGCTATGGGAAGAACTGCATGAACCAATGGAAATAAAAAGAAGCAAAGGAATGCTCTTCCCCCTAAAGTGCACAGATTGCTAAAAGGAAGTGGGACCAGGAGAATGAAAAACCACCAGTGGTTCCTGAGAACAGACAATGAACCACACCTCCCTCTTCTCATCTGGGAAGTGGGGGACTACCAGGGCAGAACATTTCATACACTATTAGATTAGTCTGAAATCTTTAGTTGCTCTTCTTTGTCAGAAGGAAGGCTCAAGCTTCAGAGACAGAAAAAGGAGGCATTTCCAGGAATGACTCTGATATCAAAACAAAAGGAAACATCATGATTTAAAAAAAAAAAAGATACAGAACATGTCTGTGAAGAGTGTTAGGACTTTTTGTTGTTATTATTGTTGTAGTTGTTCGGTTGCTAAGGCTGAAATAATTCATTTGGGGTAGGGTATAAGGCTAAGAACTGTAACACTAAGACATGAAGTCATGGTACTGAGAAGGAAATGATACAGAGAGATAATCACTGAACATTGTGCCTCAAGTCAGAATTGTTGTTGTTCAATCATGTCTGACTGTCCACGACCCCATTTGGCATTTTCTTGGCAGAGATAATAGTATTTTGCTATTTCCTTCTCCAGCTCATTTTACAGATGTGGAAACTGAGGCCAAGAAGATTAAGTGACTTGCCCAAGGTCACACAGCTAGCAAATTCCTGAGGCCAGATTTGAACTCAGGAAGATGAGTCTTTCTGACTTCAGGCCCAGCACTCTATCCGCTATGCCAATTAGCTGACCCTGGAGTCAGAAAATGTGAGTTCAAATCCTACCTCTGAAGCTTACCATTCTGTATTTGGCCCTGTGCAAGTCAATAAGACAACGTGCATTTCTTAAACACCTACTGTGTGCCAGGCATTGTGTTAAGCTCTGGAGATACAAAGAAAGGCAAAAGATAGTCCCTACTCTCAAGTAGCCTACAGCATGCAAACAACTAGGTAGAAACAAGCTATGTATAAGCAAGAGACAGCATGCAGAGAACTTTATACAAACTACAAGGTAAACTGGAGATCATCAACAAAGGCAGTAGAATTAAGGAGAATCGGGAAACGCTTCCTGTAGGAGGCAGGATTTTTAGCTAGGACCTGAAGCTAAGCTAGGGAAGGCAGGAGGCAAGGAGGAGGAGGGGGCATATTCCAGGGATGGGAGAATGCCAGTGAAAATGTCCAGGGTCAGGGGGTGTACTGTCTTGTGAAAGAAACAGCAAGGAGGGCAGTGTCTGGATCACAGAGTCAGGTCAAATCAAGTTCCTTGGCAGAGTGGGAAAAGATAGCTTCTGGGGTCCCTTACAGACTCTAGATCCGTGATCTAAGATGCTAAAAACCAAGGAGCAGTTAGAAATGTGAGTCAGCTTACTAGGTCAGTTTCAGAAAGAGAGAACTGAGCACCCATAGAACAAGGAAGCTGTCAAATGGAAATCAGGGTCGGATCATAGGAAATGTGAGCCAACCCAGTGGAGATCCAGAATCTAAGGAGTCAGAGGCAAGGGTACAGTCAAAAGAATGATGGTGGAGTCAGAAGACTTGGGTTCAAATCTTGGTCCCTACATACTGAAGTGATATGAAGGGACTATTTTAAAAGTCCATATAATTCGGTACTTGTCAGGAGCCCCAAAAAATCATTAGCGAAAGAGACTCCAAAACCCTTGTACTCTGGATTATTGGCAGCATTAGCCTTGTACACAGCTTAGGCAAACGAAAACTACCCTACTAGCAGTGGTGTGCTGGAGTCAGCTCATTAACAGCTCCTATGAGGCAATTGTTACATTTTCATTGGGAGTATTTACACCTCAGAAATGAACAAACGCTATGAATCTGGGCTTGACTTATTGTTTAATTAATTGTCTAGAATTAAGAAAGTGATAGGGCTAGCTAGGTGGTATGGTGGATAGAGCACCAGGCCTGTAGTCAGAAAGAGGTGAGTTCAAATCTGGCCTCAGACACTTACTAGCTGTGTGATCCTAGGGTAAGTCAGTTAACTCTGTTTGTCTCAGTCTTCCCATCTGTAAAATGAGTTGGAGAAGGAAATGGCAAACCATTCCAGTATCTTCACCAAGAAAACTCCAAATGGGGTCACGAAGAGTGGGATATAACTTAAAATCGTTAAACGATAATAGCAACGGCAAGGGCAAAGTGACAGGGGAAATGCTAATAAAAGTACATCCCACATACATTTTTGGAGGCGAGCGGGGCTGATAATCATTTACCAGCATGCCCGTGGTTACTACCTAACATTTGACGCCTGAAATTCCATCATTATGGCTTCATTCCTTTAATGCAAAGCTTTGTTCATTCATTAAGATCATAGATTTAGATCTAAAAACAGCCCTTAGAAATCACTTCATCCAATTCCCTCCTTTTAGAAATGAGGACATTAAAATCCAAAGAGATGAAATAGTATAGCCAAGGACACTGGGATAGGGCCTGGAACTGTTATTTTCCTGGAGTGGAAAATTCCCTCTACCAGGGCAGATTGCTGCCTTCTCTTCAGTTTATAAAAATCTTAGAGAATTAGTTGGAGCAATGAGAAGTCACTTAGCAAGGCTCACACAGCCAGTATGTGTCAGATATAGGACTTGAAGCCAGCTCTTCCTGGCTTTAAGAACAGCTCTCTATCCACAATGCAACACTACCCTTTATTGTGTCAAGGTCACACGACTAGGAAATGGCCAAGCTGCAGTTTAAACCCAGGCCCTCTGACTCCAACTAAGTCCAGAGCTGGTTTTGATTTTTTCCAAGTGTATCACAAATCTAAAATATATGTCTCCCTTAAAGAGCTAATACTTTTTAGATGGCTTTCTAATCATTTAATGTAGTGTGAATGCATTTTAGAGCCTTCCAAAGAGCACATTTTGAGGGAGGAATGCTAGGTTATGGGGGAGAAGGAAGGAGGAAGAGGTAGGAACCAAGAAGGTATACTAGAATGGGGGAAAATGGTAAATAGTGAAGCAGAGGGGCTAAAGATCAATTTCTCCTACTTCATAGTTTTCCTTTGGAGCGGCTCTAGTGACTGATTTCCATTGCCGACACTTGCATATCTGCCATGTCAGAGGGACTGAGAAACATTCTGTGGGCTGGGGTTCCTGCTGTTCCACTAAATGCCTCTTTGAGCTTCTAATAGGTGATTTCATGATTTCTTAGATGGCATTAAAAGAAAAATACTGTTGTTTGACACAAGCCATCTCAAAGATTCCAATGTTCAAAACAGGGGAAGGAGAATTATCCAGAAAGCCTTGCTGGGTAGCTTGGATATATTAATAAACCACGTGTGAAACTGACAGATCGTTTTTAGAAGGGGAATCATTCAAGAAAATGCTGAATGACATGGCTAAACAAGGAGAGGAAGATGAACGGACTCTGAGGTTGGTGGTTTTTGTTTGCAATGGCAGCCACATTGAAAACACTCCCAGTACTCATGAGGAAAGATCAGTGGAACTTGCTATTGGCAAGCACAGAACATTCTCTATTCCCCCATAAGACCTGTGTAATTATCAAAAAATATGGTATGGAAAGAAGAAATGCTCTTGGCTCTGATTAAATGTATAATCAAATGGGATGGGAGAAAGTTCAACTTCAGTGTTGTTGGAAAGGAAACATGGCAGCAGTGCTGCGACTAGAAATCTGAGAGAGGGTGGGGATCAGCCTCTTCCCTCTTTAGAGAATTTGGGATTTAGATTACTGACCTTGTCTTCAGAAGTTTATAAAGAGTTTAAAACAAAAAAAAATTAAACTGGAAAGGCATTTCCAAGAATGGAAGAAATTGAGGGGAAAGTAATAACATGAGCTATTGGCTTGAGGGAATCAATAACTGCTTTGATGGGAGATGGAAGAGAAACTAGTATATAAACATTTACTAGGTGGATATAGAGTTTATCTGGAGAATCAGAACTATTTTCAGGAATTAGAAAGAAGCTGGCTTTCACTCAAATGCTTATGGGACCAAAATATCACTTGTTTAGAGAAGGAGAAGAAAAAAGAGGATAGGAAAATAAATTCAGTAGGAGTAACTTGGAACAAGCATAGGAAAGATAAAGGGCAGAGTTGAATGATTTTTTAAAATATAGAACAGATAGATTTTTCTCTCTTCTGGGCTACAAAGTAGTTTTATGAGGTAGAAATGCTCCATTGTGCCTAACACAATGTGATTGAGAAAAGGAGGCTAAATTGAGGTCAACTAAAATTTTAGATCATTAGTACTACTCAATGGGCCAAGCCGCCATAGTATCTTCTATTCTTCCCCTTTGTTAGCCTGACCCTGAGAGAAAGCTTTGGTTAAAATGAATAAACTAGAGTTACAAGCTATTTAAAGTGAGAATCCAAAGCAAATTGTTGGCTTTCAGAGTAACCTATATAGACTCACATAAACAAAAAAGCTAAGAATCAGTAGATCTAAAAGTCAGCACACCGGGCACATGGTCAACCAGACTCCATTTGAAGATGTACAGGAATGGAGATGCCAAAGGAGGGCCTGTGAGCACCCTTCCAATTCTGAGATTTGGTGACATGCTGAAGTATTCTGTGCAATTCATTGTTAGGACTTTCTTTTACTTTTATATTTGTCTCTCTGTAACTTCTACCTACTCTTCCTAGCTGTGGCCTCTTGAAGACAAGCAGACCAAGTCTAATCAACTCTTCAATATGACAACCCTTCAGCTATTTGAACAAAGCTATCATTTCTCTTCTAGAAACCCAGCATCCCTAGCTTCTTCAAGCAAGTCTGGTATGGCACAATCTCTGGTCTGCTCACCATACTGATTTCCCTTGTCTAGAAGTGTTCTAGTGTTTTGGAGTCCTACCTAAACTGTGGTATTGATAACTGAAAACAATTCTGCATATACACTCTGATCATAGTGGAGTACAGTGCAATTAGAAACTCCACCTTTTCTGGATTATTTAAGCCTATGGTCAAATAAACTTTTTCGGCCTCATGTCACTGTTGACTCATTGAACTTACAGTCTATTAAATCCCCAAGATCTTTATCACATGAACTTCTGACTAGTCACAAACCACTTGACCCTAAAATCATAATGTCACCTTTTTGAACCCAAATGTAGGACTTTATATTTAACATCTATTATATTTCATCTGGTAGATTCAGTCCATTTTCTAATCTGTCAAGATCTTTTGGGATCTTGACTTATCTCATTAATGAATAAAACCTCCTAGCATTGCCAGCTTTATATGGCTTAATCCATTAACCTATAAACTAGGGCCAAAACCAAATTCATAGGCCACATCCATTACATCTACATCAATCTATTAAATGCCTATTCTGTGAATTCAATTACTATTCAACCAATTCTAAATCTAGCTAATTATATTACCATCTGATCAACAACTCTTCATTTTGTCCATAAAGCTAAAAACAAGAGATTTTATCAAATGCTTAGCTAAATCTAAGTAAAGTGTTTTCTAGAGCATTACCCTAATCTATCAAGCCATGTAGGAATCGGAAAAGAAAAATGAGATCCCTCTGACATTGCCTGTTTTTGATATGGCCAATTCTGCCTGTTCTTGAACACTGCTTTCTTTTCTCAATGCTCACAAAATAGCCTTTAATAACATGTTCTAGAATTTTTCCAGGAACTAGTCAGGCTTACTTTTAAACATATTACTTTTGTAAAGCAATACATATTCACCAAGTCTGTTATTCAAGACAGTACTATGTATAGCAAAGAGGCTCCCCTCTGTTCAATGCATAGCTGAGTGCTGGGTCAATATGTTCTGCTTGTTCTGCCTAAGAAGAGCAAAGAAAGAAATAATTACTCCAGTTCCCTACTTTCCTTTTTTCTCCTCAGCAGACTCACAAACTTGTTTTGTCCACTAGTACTTCTCTACATTTAATCCTGTGCCTACCTGAGGAGAGAGGCCAAGTCATGGTCATCCCTACCTTTGTAATTTTGCTCTTATTATCCACCATCCTTTCCATTCAATTCACTAATAGTATACTAAGCACATGATATATTGTTACTGTTGACCCGTTTCAGTCATGTCTGATACTTCATGACCCCATTCAGGGTTTTCTTGACAAAGATACTGAAATGCTTTGCCATTTCCTTCTTGAGCTCATTTTACAGATGAGGAAACGGAGGCAAAGAAAGTCAAGTGGCTTGCCCAGGGTTATACAGCTAGGAAGTGTCTGAGGTCAGACTTGAACTCAAGAAGATGAGTCTTCCTGACTCTAGGCCCAGCACTGTATCCACTCTGCCACAGGGTAAAATCTATGAGAGACTTCTTCCTGAGAGACTACCTTCCCTCAAGGAGCTTATGTTCTACTCTCCTCCTTTTTATGACCTATTCACATCCAAGCCTAGAAGGCTTGGTGAAGTCCTAGGTTCAGTACCAACTCCATTCAGCCTTCCCCAATCACCCTATCCCTTCCCTAACTCCTTTTCTGAGATTATCAGTACCATACAATTCTTCCTTTATTAATCACCTTAATATTATAGTTACTTCCATTACAAAATTAATTTACTATATACCTAGAACATTTCCTTCTGTACTTCATAACATAACTGTCGTACTCATTGTTCTATATATATAGATCTCTTGTCCTCACTTAGACAGTAAGCTTTCTGGGCAGAGATGATGACTTTTATGTTAGTATACCTCATGGTGCTGGTACATTGTAGGTATCCAGCAGGCACTAGGTTAATGGTCATCAGCGGATTGTTTAAGGGGAACATTTCCATTCTTTGATAGTCGATGTTCATACGTTTTTTATGGCTACCTCTTTTTATCTCTTAGGTGATTTGCTTCTCTTACTTCCACAAATGCCTTTCTCTGCCTTCCATCATCTCTTTCTATATGATACAAGCAGTAATTTATTGTCTAATCCTCATTTATTGTCTAATCCTCAAATGGGAGTGAAGGCTCTGAAGTCAGAGGAACAAAGTTCAAATCTCGGTCCATGTGACAGGGTAAATAACTTTAAGTCTAAGTTCCCCCATCTGCAAAATGAAGGACTGGATTAGATCAGGAATTCTTAATATTTTTTTTGTGTGTGTCACAGACCCCTATGACAATCAGTGAAGCTTATAGATGCCTTCTCAGAATAATTCACTTAAATGTATAAATAAAATACACAGGGTTACAAAGGAAAGCAATTATTTTAAAATAAAGATAAAATATATTTTAAGATATTTAAAGATATATTTAAGACATTTAAAGAAACATACATATTTCATATATATATATATACACATATATAAACACACATATGTACATATATACATACATATACATATACATATATATATATATATATATATATATATATATATATTCTAAGTTCATGGTCCCCCTCCAACCTATTCTCAGAAATTTTAGGGGCCATAGACCCTAGGTTAAGAACAAGGTGACAGGTTAGGTGCAGGGGTGGAGAACCTGCAGCCTTAAGGCCACATGTGGTCCTGTAGGTCCTCAAGTGTGGCCTTTTGACTCCAAACTTCACAGAACAAATCCCCCCTTAATACAAGGATTTATTCTGTGAAGTTTGGATTCAGTCAAAGGGCCACACTTGAGCACCCAGAGGGCCACATGTGGCCTCGAGGCCACAGGTTCCCCAGCCCTGTGGTTAGGACAAGATGACCTCCTAGCTGGAATTCTTTGATCCTTCTTGCAGAGGGCTTGCAGAACTGGTGAGAAACCAGACATTTTGATTTTGCTGGGTTGCCAATTCATAGCTTCATTTCATCAGGCTATTCAAAGGTTGATGAGTATGCTCTTGAGAAGAAAGTGCATCTTTTCCCAAACATATGCTCATCCTCTCACATGCCTCAGCCCTACGCTTATTCACTTTTAAGGTTTATAAGTAAAATGGTTCATATTCTGGGCAGTCAGTGAAGGGAGGATTCTGTGCATCTGTAGAGCCAAACGAAGCTAGCTGTGTGCTATTTCTAAGCCGTGTTCCATCTAAATCGTCGTTGGCTTGGTCGGTGGGTTGTTGTTGTTTGTTTGTTTTTGAAATTAGAGTAGACCCAGCTGTGGGTGAAAATTTTTCCCCAATTTTTTTTTGGAAAAGTCCCCTTCTCAGGAATATCATCAGGGACAGATTATCAGGTAGGGTAGAGGGGACAATAGTATTCTGAGTCTCTTTTAAACTGAGCAGTGGCCCTAGCTAGGGTCTGAAAGCACTGTCATCATTCCTGAGCAGCAGAAAATCAGCTTGTCAATGAAACTAGCTTAGAAATCAACAATTCAGTGGCAACATTCATGATTATAAAGGAGAAGAGTTCAGGGGAGTAGCTTTGGTGTCTGTCCGTATCACAGTTCATCTAATGCAGGTAAGCATACACCTTTGGAGTAACTTCTCAATTGGCTCCATATTAAGCCACCTGGCCTCTAGCCTCCACCTCCATCTGGAACTGAAGATCCCCCACCTTTCACTCTCGGCTCTGTTTGGTGAACATTTTTACCTCATCTTACCCCCTCAAGCCCATCATACTACTTCTCAGCTGTCTTCATGTCATACACACCACATCCCTATCCCCAGCTTTCCAACACTATATCAGAAAATAGTAATCAAATCAACACTACTATTCCCTGTAAGGACATGTTAATTGCCTGATTACTCCAATCACTATTTCTCTGCCTCTCTCTTTAAAAAAAAAATCACTTTTTGGGCAGCTAGGTGGCATAGTGGATAGAGTACCAGCCCTGGAATCAGGCAGACCTGAGTTCAAATCTGGCCTCAGACACATAACATTTACTAGCTGTGTGACTCTAGGCACATCACTTAACCCCAATTGCCTCACCAAAAAAATAAAATTATTTTATTTTTAGGTCTTCATTCTCCCTTTCTCTTCCATCTTGTCCCATTTCCCTTGAGAGGGCAAAAGCAAAACAAAACAAAAACTTGTCATAAATATGTATAGCCAAGCAAAAAGAAAAAAAAATCTGTATTGGGCCATGTCTGGCTCCTTCTCAAAGACCCTTGTTTGGTCACAACTCCCAATAAACCATGTCTTCCCCTATTAGAATTTATGGTCCTTGAGGGCAGAGACTATTTTGCTTACATGTATTTACATTCCTAGGACTTAGTACAATGCCTGGCATAATGAAAGTGCTTGGTAAATGCTTTTTCATCCAGTCATTCATTTATTCACTCTCACTCGCTCAACTATGCATACCTGCAATAGAAAAATAAGACTGAAGGAGTGTTAATTCAGTGACACCTGCCAAAGACGGTACCATGGGAAGGAAAGATTATGTCTCAAGTCCCTTCTAAATGCTAATCTTCATAGCAAGGAATCCCTGCTTTCCTTCAAGACCAGGATTAAATACCATCTTTGGTGAGATGGCTTACCTGTTTGCTCTCAGATGCTAAGGTTTTTATGACATCTTTTCTCTATAAGGCTGCCTGACATCTAACTTAAATGTATCTCATGTACATCTCTTAAGTACGCGTTTTCTGTCTCAATAGGGAGAAAAAGAAGTTCTGTGAGGGAAGAGTTTAAAAATCTTTGTTTGCTTGTTTGTTTTTTGTTTGGTATCCCTGGGGCCTAGCACAGAGCCTACATACCTGGGCAGGGAACCTGCTGCCTGGAGACCACAGATTCCTCACCCCTTATATAGTAAGAGCTTAAAAAATGTTTGTTGATAGATTGAATGTTTTCCTGAGATACTGACACCATAATTGGTGATCCAGAATTGAGAGACCCCAGGCATATAATAAGAATGAGCATATTTCCCTAAATAAACTAAGCCTTCTTCACTCCTCAGGACCTGTGCCCTACCTAGTATTCCATTAACTATGGAAGTTTTGATGGCTTATCCCCTAGTTTCCACCATATAAACTCTTGAATCAAGCTTATAACAGAACTACTTTTCTATTTCTTTTTCTCCAAAAACATTTCAGATGTTGAGTACCCATCTTTGTAAATTCTTTAGATTATATTGTTGTCGTTGAGTCATTTTAGTTGTATA